TCTGTTTGAATGTTGTTCAGATAACTTCCTCCGCTTCCGTTAGTTTACATAACGAAGTTGATTTGTTGCAATGCTTTATGCAGCTTAACTTTTGTATTAGGTTTTCCTGCTGTAGATGATCTTAAACGTATTTTTGTTAAGGGAACGTCTGCGATTCATTTCAAGAGTTATTGTAGTATTTTTTTATAATTATATAAGCTTATATACTACTATACAATGGACTTTTGATATATATTGTGAAATTTTAAATGGAAATTATAAGCATCAATTTTCTATACGGCGTAAAACGTTTAAGCGTTGTCTATTGTGTTAAGTTTAAGTTATTAAGTTGTTTTAGCCTAGCTTCAAAAATTGTATATCAGTGTTCATAACTGATCCAATTCTGGATATGTGAAACAAATGTTTTTTTTACGTTTTTATCGAGTTAAGTGCAGAAATATAAAATAATGACATAAAAGGAAATCGTTCGTATTTCAAGTATACCTATTTATTATACATATAGGTTATATAAGCTTGACTAAATTTAAGTTAACATTAATATAAGAAGACAAAAATGAATAAAAGAACAATTGAAAAAAATAAGTATACTTCACGGAAACCTTTTTTATCTGTAAAAAGTAAAGGGATTAGTGAGAAAGAAACATAAATAACGAAGTAGATACTCTGGATTTGATGTCAGAAAACTTTTTATCGAACTCCGTGTCACGAAATGCCTACCGCTTATTTTTCGTCTTTTTGTTTTCCTTTTATTTACGCAGACATCGAATATCTATGGCAAATTTTAAATAAAATCTTATGCCTTATAATATTTTAGATTTTGATAATTGTTTTTTCACTTCGATAAATTAACTGGCAAAATTTTACATAGCGTAATTAATATTCTATCTCTATCTATTCAGCCCTTTTTGACGTCCCACTGCTGGGACACACCCGCCAATACGAGGTGCATCAAGTCATAGCCCACCACGATGGCCAAGTGCGGGTTGGTGGACTTCACATGTCTTTCGAAAACTTGTTAATTTCTCTCAGACATTCAGGTTTACTCACGATGTTTTACCTCACCGTAAGACAAGAAGTAATCATGTTGGAAAGGATTCGCAAATGGAAATATCATAGGTCCGAGACCCGGAGTTTGAACTTGCTTCCCCCATTTACCCAAGTGAAGACGTTCCCACTAGGCTACCACTGTCTTTAATATTCAAAAGCACCAACATTTATTTTTAACTAGTAACAAGGACGCGTGATTAAAAAAATAAGCTAATAAAATATGAAGAAAAAATCATATAGTTTTTAAAGTATTCATAAAATGCTTACATTAAGGTGACACTATTATATAAATTAAAATGTTCATAAAATTCTGTATTAATTTTATTATAATTTATCTTAAAATAATACACATTATTTTATCGCTTCTTGTTATAAGTCAATGAAATTTAATCAAGTACTGTGATGTAGGCATTGTTCGAAACCGGTAAATGTAAAGCAGACTATAGAGTTTTTCACACCTCCTTTCATATAAAGGTCAGAGCTAATATATTATTATTGGGAGCTTTATTATCAATTACCGTTAATCGATGTTTTTATTATGTTATCTGTTAATAATATTTAATTTTTAATACTTAGACACTATTTAGGAACATTTTTTTAACGTTATAAGAGTAACGGAAGATCTGATTTTGATGGAAATTACCAGTTTTTTAGTTAAAAATTGTAGGTACTTTTTTATTGATTAATTTTTGTAAATATTTTGGGATGCTTAAGTATTAGTTGGCGCAAGAGCTTTAATAATTACCTTTCTTATGTAGCCTTCATGCTATTGGTCTCATGTCGACAATGCGTTACAAGGTGCTAGGGGCGAAATATACGAAATTTCACCTGTACCCGATCCGATAAATAAGGCTCGACCGCCTTTGGGACTATTCATTTTGCTTATTTATGAACAAATATAAGCACACTCCCAAGGAAAGGGTGAGTTCAATCTTCATTTACATTAACATTACGTAAATAACTTAGAAGGAAATAAGAACACTTTTTATTACTACATATTTTGCATATAAAGTAAAGAATGATAAAAAATAGTCGTATAATATTACCATGTTATCCAGAGAAGGTTTTCTCTTACATTGTATAAAAATTAAAGAAATATGACATTTTTGTGAAAGATACAATATACATTTACATATGTACGAATTTGAATATAATAGTAGATATGGTTTGAAATTTTCTGCCATCTGGAAATCGGTTTAAAATATTTGAAATATAAACCCATATTACCCTTATACCAAATGTTATTTTTTACATTTAAATTAATGACTTTTATATACGTACGTACGTATTTTTAGATTTTAACAGTTTAAATTTTTGAGTGGAACCTTAATTCTTTTTCTAAAATAAAAATAGCCTATGTTACTCCTTATAACATTAGCTATCTGCCAGTGAAAGTACTATCAAAATCAGTTCAGCCGTTTCGAAGATTAGCCGGAACAAACAGACAGACAGATACATAAAAAAATTAAAAGTTGTGTTTTTCTTAAAAATACCGTTTATAAATTCACATGCATTTAATAAAAAACCGTTATTTTAAAATAAAAACAGATTTCAATTTTATCTATCTGTATAGATGTATGTGTACTTTTATTCTGTTTATACGAGTATAAGTAAAGTGATGTTTAGATTTAGTTTTAACGTAGTTTTTTTTAAAACATGCACCCTATGAAATTTTTGCAGGGAAAAATCTTTAGCATTTATATGCAAAGGGCTCAAAAATTCTGTTCACACGTTTTCATTATCATTAAGGATTAAAATTTTAAAAGTGGTAGTTGTATAAGAAATAGGCAAATATGAATAGTAGTAGAATTGGGTCAAGCTGCTAGCAAGTAATAATTTAAAAAGTTTTAACATGCGACCAAGACCAATAACTTGAAAAGGACTTTGTGATGAAATTTTACCTATATGATTCTTTCATAGGAAAGTAAGTGACATATGAAATCGTACTTGAAGAAATAACGAAACATTTACATACATATGTATTCGCAGAATTTACCTGAAAAGCAAAAGTTTTCTCAATCGAATCGTTAAACTCAAAACGCCACCTTTTGCGGTTCTATCGAAATAAAGGCAGTCGCATTCTCCAATTCTGCCTCCACCGTTACGTACTATTCGAGCACGAAATGGGTAGCCCGGAAAAGAGACCCTGAGGACCGAGACTCTTTATGCAAATGTGCTTCTACAAAAGGTGAAGTAATGCGAAAGTCAGATTAGAATTTGCCCGTTTTCATGCTTCGATGTCAAGGCGGATCCATTGGAACAAATTAGAATAAAAATTTAGATAAACAGAAACTACGAGAGATGTTATCTCTACATACAGCTGGATAGAAATTATCATGATGTACGAGTACTACTTAAATATTAGGTATATAAAAAAGTTTCCTCCTATAACAATCAAGTTTAATCCTATAACATTGATAAAGTGATATTTTTACTTAAAACTTATTTTTATATACGTAAGAGCGCGGTTTTAGTCATCTAACACCTTAGTCTCTCCCTTGACCATGATTGCTGTAAAGCATTCGAAACGTCGGGAACCTAAAATCCAAATAAATCTGCGAAAAAATCCGAAAAGATTGTTTTATTTAAAATGTCAAATATTCGCGTAAATTTAAAAAAGTAAGTATAATCTTTAATAAGGATAAAATGAAGTCTCTTCCGCTATCTGTTCATTTAGATATTTTTAATTATTCAACGGATTTTAATGCACTTTTCAGGAATAGATAGATTCAAGATGAAGGTTTATATGTGTAATACATGCATGTATACAGAGAAGCCGAGAAATTCAAAGATTTTTATTTCAAACTAACCGTTAAAAAGTACCTAATATTTTATATACATAATTTCATTATCGCAAAAAATATGTGACTTACAAAAATTAGATTTTATTAATATAAACAAGAAACTATGTTAATGATAATCTAATACTATCCTATAAAATCGATTTATTGTAAGATAATAAGAGGAAAAATAAAAAAATCATCCCACGATCTTAACTCTCAATATAGTACTTTCTTTATAAATAAATCCTTAAAAAATTCCTTAAAAATAAATAACGCTATAAGTGTTTTATAATACTGAGTGGTATCATTAAGTAACAATTTCAATTAAATAGATCGTTAGGTATATTTACGCATATTTTTATAAAACTTTGAATTGAATATTATTATTAACTAGCGGACTTGACGGAAATTATTATTAGAGACATTCTCTCCAACTTTGCTTGTGATCTTTGAAATCTAATAAAATAAAAAATGGTACAGAAAAAAGTTTAACTTTTCCGCATATTTTCCAAATTTTCGGGAAATGAACATGGAAAATAAATGAATGAATATACGAACAGTATAATTTCATTTTTATTTACATATATTTATTCAATTTTAAGCTTAATAAAGTAGAAGAAATTAAATTATTTAAGAGAAATTTCAACACCAATGCTTAACATAAGGTAACAAGAATATAACAAAAACTTTCAATTTTTTTGTAACGGAGCCAATAGAGCCCGCATATTGATAACCACGATTGTTTTTATTTTCACTTTGTTCAAGTAGTCAAGGATTAATATATGCAGAATAGAAACATTAAACTTCATAATTCTGCAATTTATAAGAAAAATGTATTAATGATTGTATTATAATTAAAAATTATGCAATAAATAGTGAGTGCCATTATTCAATAATTGAAAAAAATAGTTTACGCACTACTAAATATATTTATATTTTATATTCATCTAGTTCATATTTTAAAAGAAGCTGAAGCGATAGGCCTTATTTTTTTGTAGTATATGACATCTTAACAGAAAGTTGAACTATAATATTGTAACTCTTTTAATAAAATAACAGAAATATTTTTTATTCTATTACTTTAAACGCTTGTCACTGTTTTGCATATCCTGTGCCAAAAGATAACCACTAGCAAGCCTCAGTTTCTGACACAACATTGTAACGCGCAAAATGCTACTGCATACTTGTTACGTATCGGTTATAATAATTACAGTTAATTTAGACATTTGTAAGTTAACTTAACAATGTTGGTAGATTTTCAAAATTTCTTTTTATTTTAATTGTTTATATTGTTTTCAGTAGTAAGTGCTCGGGATAAGATTTCTCCGCCTATCGAAAGGGAACGCCGGCATATACTTCCATTATTAGGCTACATACATGGATACAAAATTGGGCAAAATTTTGCACTACAATTACCCCCGTTCGTTTTATCGCCTATAGTGATAGTGCCATCAGTAAACCAGCAACAAAGTGTCAACATACAAAAAGCTTCCGGAGAAGAAAGTTACCAGGAAAATGGAGGGACTCTGCAAAAAATTGCTCCAGCCAAACTTATTAAAAATATCACTGAAGATGAAAACAATGAAATTAATGACGATGATTTACCCTTATCATTAAAAGTCAACGATAATTCAGAAATTCATAGTAAGAGTAATTATTTATCATCTTCTGAAGTTGACAAATTTAAACAAATAGATTTAAATGAAATGAATAATAACAGTCAAGAATCATCGGAAACCAATGATAATTTAAATAGCACGCCGTATACTATAACAGATACTCAAGTAGAAAATATAGAAACAGCGAATACTACCACGAAAGCATTTGGTCCTTATCCAACCGCAATATATAATAATAATAATAATTTAAGCACATTATCAATCACTGTATCCCCTTTTCAAAATAATTTGACTGTACCTAATATGGAAGATAAATGGCAAAACTTTAGCTTGCCTTCTCTCGGTGAATCGAAAAATATTACAAAAGAAAATAACAGCAATGACTCAAACTTAACAGAAAATAACATTTACTTTCCAACGACTTTACCATCTATAGACAAATATAGTTTTTACCCGCCTCCTAGGTATTACCAAAATGTAGACAGGTTGTCAATAACGACAAATTCTTATACAAATGAACCTTACTTGCCGCCCGCGTACGATGATCGATGGCAAAGATTTTCACCGGCAAGAAAATCATATGTAAACTCTGGCTTTAGACCTCTTGCGGGCTTATATTATGACGGATTCTTACACAAAAGTCTAGATAAGCAGATGGGATTTTTGCCAAATCGATATAATAATAATTATCACTAAGTTATATTTGTTTACATATAGTTTATAGAGTTATGTATTATTTGATTGTATATAGAATAGAAAATTATATCATTTTAGTAATCGTGTAAATTTTTTTAGACTGGTTTCTAGGTTTCAAGTACTATGTTATAGGTTAGATCTTGAGAGGCCGCATAAAATTACTTTTAATTTTAATAAATTTTAAGTGTCAAACACACTCGTATGTAAAAAATATTTGTTCTTTAATTTATGTTAGAAAGGCATTGAATTCACTTCAATTCAAAATTTTCTTTCATTATTTAAAAATTACAGTCTACCTCAGTCTCGTGAAGTACCCCAGTCAGCACTAGTAAATTCAGTTGAAATAAAAAATGGGAAAAATTATTTCTTCTTACAGATGTTCATGTTTAAAAAATGTAATTGAGTAAGAATTGCCCGATAGTGGTACAGAAGTCAAGTTATTGAATGATTTTGTATAATATTAAACGGAATATTAAACGAATACTTAAATCATTGTATTCTTCTATTTTATTTATGTAGAAATTTTTAGTATTACTTAATTGGAAATACAGAAATATTTCTTGTTCATTCAATTATTATTATCAGATTTAATCATTAAGTACCTGCAACCTAATTTTAAAATGCCAAGACATAAATATGAGACTTGAATAACGATTGGGATCATAAAATGTGCTTTGAGTCTCAGTGAGTGTTTTGTATATCCACACGCGTACTCTGCATACTGATGTAAGAGGATTGGTGTTTGAAGAAATTCTTTCCATTTTATGTATTATTTAATGAAAATAAAAAATATATTAATTTTATACACGTGGCTTCTTCATAATAATTTTAGATTTAGATCATATTTTTATGTACGATACGTAATAAGAAATGACTTATTTTTTTTATATTTTGGAGCAATTCCAATGTAATTCACTTTTGGGTTAATAATAATTACAATTACTCTATAGATCCAATTTACTCAATTTTTTATCAACAAGTGTTATAAAAGAAATACGCTTTATATAACATTTCCTTTTACTATTTCCACTGTAGTATTAATGCAACAAAAACAAAATACAAACTACTAAGCAACTTAAGCGAGGAAGCCAAGAAATTATAAAAGAAAACCTACATAGCGTTATAGAAACATACTTTTATCTACCGCAAAATAAAAGCATTTAATAAAGCTCCAGGAAGCAAAAGTTTATGCCAAGTTCTTTTATAGAAACATTGGCGGCTTTAGATATCTTGGAAAAAAACTTTCTTCTTAATCCTTCAAATTCTACTTGATTTGTCTTCTGTGTGATAGCTAAGTTTCATCTCTTGATAAAAAGCTGGATTTTAGATTTTCTAAGTACCATATGGATGAGTGGAATGAGGCCGTGGAAGTCAAGGATTCGATATTAGTTTTTAACTAGGTAAGGTACTTTGGTGGTTAAACGTGAACTTTAGTAATTATAGCAATATTTAAGTATGATCCTGTTACGTAAAATAATTTTAAACTGGAAATTTAATTATAGGTATACCTTTTGTCGCTACCACAATTAAGATGAATTTAGGAAGATCTAATTCCGAGTGTACCAAAGAAATATTTATACGTACATATATTTTCATATAAAACTATCCTCTTTCTATGACAGCCAAATAAAAGTGCTGTACTAAGTATCGTCACCTTTAGTAGGTGGAAGTTGGAAATAACAAATGTATCATCATTATTGCATCATTTTAACATGAACATAATTTGTATCTAATTATTATTTTGATATTTTCCTGCAGTAAAATTATCTTTAAATAATAATAAGTTATTTTTTTAATAATGGTAATAATTAACCGATTTCTAATGCAAAGTGATGAGCCCCAGTAATTTCTTTTATTAAAATTAGAAAAAAAACTCACAATAGGTACCTACAGTATAACTATACGACACATTACTTTAAAATATAAAGTAGATATGAGAAGGTATAGCTTACTTATTATATTGCCAACTAGTATCGCCCGCGGCTCCGCCCGCGTTCAGATGACCAAGAACCAAATTCTTAGGTTTTACATATTAGTATATTACAGTTGTTGTTGACCCGGATAACCAGCTATCACCATACGAAATTTCATCAAAATCCCTCCAGTGGTTTTTCTGTGATGCGGTAACAGACAGACGGCCAGACCGACAGACAGACAAAAATTCTAAAAACTATAGATTCGGCCTCCGTATCGATAAAAAAAATTCTATTTCAATAAGATTTTCCAAAGAATATTTAATGTACAGATTCGACTTTGTTAGAATTTTATTATATGTATAGATTTGAATGACATATTATGGTGCAAATAATAATAATAATCACACAATTTTAATTCAATAAAATTTGGTTATTCTAAGTAACTATAACGATATGTTTCCATATTTTTTATTTCAACCCTCAGTTCGAGCATGTTAGATACAGGAACTGTTATTCTGTTACAGAACTCCTTTGTCCGAAGAGCGCAGTACACGAGTAATACACGAGTGCATTGTATGCGAAGTTGACAAATGCCTTAGGGCTACTAGGTGTTTGCTTTTCGCCATTTAAGCGAGGCATGTGAGAAGTCCGACACAATATGTTGAATTCAATGTAGCTGAAATGATATTTTGGTAATATATTTTGAGTATGAAAATAATATTTTACCAAGTTAAATATAAATAATATTTACAGTTCGAGTGAATAATATTTATAGTTAGAGAGATTTGGCTTAGTTCAGGTATAAATAGAGTCCCCCCCCCCCAACGTGCTTTCACCTTGTTGTGGTGGGGGGGCTCAGTAGTGCCCGGCAATACAGCCGGGCGCGAAGCCAAGAAACGCACAGGGAGGTGGCCCACTTCGGTGGGTGCTGGCAGGTGGCCCTCTTCGGAGGGCGGTTTACCATGCGGGTTGCTCCTGGTACTTCTCTGATAGCAGAGTGGACCTTGGAGCAACCCCGTGGTTGTCGTGGTCTGCTTCGGCAGACCTGCCGTCGGGGCGTCGTAGTTGAATGCGTAAGCGATCCTGCAACGCCCCATTAAGACGGGGGAAGGCTTTGTTGGGTTTTAGTGGGTAGTACTGGCTGTATTACGCCGGTGAGTCCCACACGTCGTGCGTAAATGCATTTCCCAACGTTAAAAAAAAAGGTGTAAATAGAGTGTCATCTGTTGTACATTGATGGAACCAAGGCAGAAACGTTCTCAAGTGTGTACAAATCATTAAGGTTTACACAAATACAAATAAATCTATCCCACGGTAACCGTACGTTATTCCGGAATAAAAAGTAGTGTGTTATTGCAGACTGTATGTATATAGAATTTTCATCCAGATCCTTTCAGCCGTCCTAACGTGATTAAATAACAAACATCCAAACATGCAAACATCTAAACTTTCACATATTTTAAATATTATTATATTAGTAAGATTTTATCGATAATATAACGTGCATCACTGGTCGAGGTCCGAGCATCGAAAACCGGGAGAGAATAATAGGACTTTTTTATGTGGGTAAAAATTTCAAACAACTCCCAACTTTGACATTAGCTTGTGAATTATCACGGTCTCGCCGGTGTCATTTGCGAACTCTAAGCCGAACTCGGGTCTTTGGGGCGAATTCTTTGTAGAGGAACTTCGCCCTGGGCGCCCGCCAAAAGCGTACCCCGCACATCGCATAACTTGTTGAAAATGTTTATTTTAGATAGAAACATAGCGAACATGCCAAAGTCTTTAACTATGAACCTATTACAGAGTACAAGCTACTAGTTTGCGAACTTTATTTTATGATTACATAAATTATGAAAACTTACAGAAAATCTCTTTTTAAGAGAATTTGCTGTATGTTAGTTCATTAATATAATTAACACCTCCAGGTAAATTTCTAAGAAATTAATTAAATTAATTATACCGATAGGCCTAAAATAAATGATTTCTTTTAAGTTTAAAAATGAGTTACAAATATTTTCCTCTTACATCCATATCCATACTAATATTATAAATGTGCAAGTGTTTGTTTGTGACAAACAAATTTCTTTCACGTCGAAACGGGGTGACGGATTGGCATGATTTTTTGTGTGCAGATAGTTGGAGGGCTGGAGAGTGACATTGGATACTTTTTACAGCTGAAGACTATCTAATTCCCACAGGAATACACGTTAAATACAATCCAAAAAAATTTTATGATCAAAATTACTTGAAATTGGTATTACTGTTCTTCAATAAAATTAAATAAATTCGTATTTTAGCATTTTTCTAAATTTCTCCTATAATGGGGGTAAAATAGGGGATGAAAGTTTGTTTGAAACCTTTTTAGAGATTTTTTTGTAGTCTTAACGCGAGCGAAACCGCGGGTTCTGCTAGTTTTAATATCAAAACAAAAAAGTGTGACTCTTGACAGTTTTATATAAAATATATCTATCTACCAATCCCATTCTGAAAAACCTACAATTAGTTCAAAGTCGTAAATTGCAAGTAAGCAACAGTTTACGCGGAAAACAAGTAATCCGAGACAAAGCCACGCTGATGGAGTTTCTTCACGTATGTACATTGTACGTATAAGCTAAGTTTTAATTGAGTTTTTGCTACCCTTCCGTAACCTTTGGTTAAGTTAATCAATGTTCGGAACCCCATTCATAGCATCCTCATTGCGTCATCGCGCTTTAGAAAAAAAAAATGTTATAAGCTATGATACCGACTGGCTTAGAGGCATGTGTCCTTAGTAATTAAGTAGAAGCTTGCAGGGTTGATTCCTACAGTAGGTAAATTCTTACTTCTTGCGCTCTAAAATATATTTTTCAATATAATAATTATGATGTGCTCTAGGTTAGTTATATCATGGTCCCCCCCAACGTGCGTTCACCTTGTCGTGGTGGGGGGGCTCAGTAGTTATATCATGGTGTTGTAAAATCATCTTGGTTTGAAGTATTGTGTTTGCTAAATGTATAATGTATATATCGTATAATATAAAAGATTTATATTATAAATGCTTATACATCGTTAACAATGGCTGATAAAATATTAAATTAA